GGTCACAACCTGGGGACTTCCCAGGTATGAGTCGCTGCAGCTTTCTCAGTACTATTGAAGGGTTTATTTGAGGGGTGGCTATTTGGTCTTCCTCCTGTGAAATAGTCATGCCACCATTTTGGTTCGTAACGGTAATACCCACATTGCTGTTTAGCTGTTTGGCGAAGGCTAAACTGAATGTTTCAGCCATCTCCAGACTAGTGAGATATTGACCGTTTTGGCCTACTAAGGCGCAAGCCCCTTGGTTGGTTGGTTTCCTTTCCGACATGAATCGGTACAAATTCTTCGGGTTTGCCAGGAGTTTTTTAGCAAGGTTAGCCTGGAATGACCTTCTGTCCCTCCTGACTCTTGCATTGCACCGGTTCCTGAGTTCCAGGTATGCATCATGGTCGATCTGGCTTCCAGATACGCGCCACGTAAACCAAGCCTTCCTCTTTGCTTGCAGAATACGCTGCGTGCCTCTCTTTAACCATGATGATTTTCTTTTTGGCTGTGCTGTGACTAAAGGGACGGTATCCGAGATCGCTGTATGAATAATCTTTTTTACCGCTTCCCAGTGTTCATCCACAGACAGCTCATCCCATGCTAAGGGCCAGTCTGCATCGAACAAGAGCCTCCGCATTTCAGCGTAGTCAGCCTTGCTGTAACACAGACATGGTTGCGTAGCGTCCCACTGCAAGTGCTCACGGAGAACGAGGTCGAAACCTATGACTGCATGGTCACTACTTCCTAGAGGAGTCATGACCTGGACCTTTTCGACGAGTAGTTGGTCACTAGTTAGAATGTAGTCTAGTTTTGATGACTTTCCACTAGGGCCCCACCTAGTGTCGTCTCCAACATTCTCAGTCAGTCCCGTGTCCCGAATAGCTTGCAGTAGATTTCGGCCGAATTTTCCCTTAGCATACCCCGAGCCAAGGTTCAGTGATGGGGCATTGAAATCTCCAGCAATGGTGATTTGGTCATAGCCCAAGTCTCGTATCCCTGTGATAGTGCTGAGCAGTAGCTGATTGTGCTCTGCCCCACAGGTGGGAGACCGGTAGATGCCACCAAGTAAATGCTTGGTGTGGCCTACGGTGAAATGACACCATATGGAGTCTGGGAGTTCAATAAGTGGTGGGTCCGTTGCGCAAACACATTTAAGTTGCCTATCAAAGTATATGGCAACTCCCCCTCCTTCCTTATTATCCCTGTCTCTCCTGACCAAAACCATATCACCTATACTGATTTCATTATCGGTGATAGTGGGGGTTAGCCATGTTTCCGTGAGAATGATTATTTTCAGTTGTAGGTGTGCTTGGAGATTTCGGAGTTCACCTATTTTTACTCTCAGCCCCCTCACATTGCTATACAGGCAGCTGACAGTGAGTCTTACAACCTCAGCGTGTTGTGGGGTAGTTGACGTGAAGCTGTCTGCTGGTAGGGAACTTAGTGTTGGGACTAATTGGCCAGTTCCGATGGAACCGGCCCATTGTGGTTTTTTCCCTTGGATTTAGGCAGGACACTTGGGTGGCACAGACTGTTATTCTCAGAACTGCATTGCTCGAGTGTCACTGAAGCTTGGGGACGTATTAAAGCCTCAGTTTGCTGCCTCCTTATGGTTCGAGGTCTGCTTTCGCAACATCGGATGTGTCCTCCCAATTTCCCCTTGATCTCATACCACCGTTGAAGTGTTATGGCCAACTGCTCTGGGGAGTTGAATGTGACACTAAGCAGCCTTGGGGAGCTAATCAGTGTGAGATGAGCGGGGCGAGGTAGTCGGTAAACGGAGATGGCTCCAGAAGCGCCAAGGGCCATCTGAG